AACAGATTCTGCAGAGTGGGAGAATAGAGATAGAATGAAGCAGAATGACTCCGACCATAAAACTCTGACACAGCGGTAAGAAGTGTTGCCTCACATCCCTAACAGGAGCCTGTCCATGTGTGGATTTTCTCTAGAAATTCTGGTTCTCCTTTCTACTAAAATGCCATTTATCAGCAGGTGTGTTTTCTTATTGTCTGAAGCTTATTAAATGTTGATGTGGTGAAGCATTGCAGCAAATTCTTACCCCTGGCTTTACTTTACCAAATGGAGCTGATAGGATAATTTAGCATGAAACATGCTACCTGAAGACTTAAGGATTCAATCCTACATTTAGGAGAAATCCCTTAGCATAGAATAAAACATCTGCTTTTGCACTGAGGACAAAATTAAGGCTCAGAGTACAACTTGACCAGGTCAGCAGTCCACTGCTGGACACTTCGGTATAAAGAGAGATATGAAGATCCTCACTGTGTTAATAAAAACTTCTAGACATTCTATAACCATTTAAGGAGTCTTGTTAGTGAGTCTTAGCAGCTGATGTTTTGGAGATTTATTGGTGAAAATGGCAAGAAAAGTATTCCAGGGTGAACAGGCACCGGAGGATGTGAAGATGCCGATCCAGCAAAGACAAACTGCAGGGAAAGGAAAATATGGCCAGATATAGAAGATGGTGCGGTGGAGGGTTAGTGGGGGTCCTGTTGGAGGGGGGGTGCTTCTGTTGGTACTATGCTGATGAAGATTCTCAGTCATCCAGGCCATAGTCATTCCATAAAAGTTATGTTGGGACTGCTCACTGCTTTGTTGGGGTCCTAGGAGTCGTCATGGCGCTCCAAAGCAATGATGGATGTCACCTGTATTTCCCCATTACATCATCGACCATTTGGGCTGTCTTTATTATTTGTTCATTCTGTTTTATTTCCTTACTCGTGTTTCGAGTCCTCCCGAGTCACGGCCTCGGCAGAGTGACATTTATCATCAGGGAGACTCTTTATCCAGTTTTTATTCACATCATGTACTTTGTTTGGGGAGTAAAACATGTTAGAAGCCAAAAGTTTATTTTGGGGGAAATCTATCTCTGTTGAAGAGCTGTCTCTTTTCACAGAAGATATTAAAGTTATCATTAAAGCCAACTGATCTTGCAGAGCAGAGTCATTTGTTCCATTATTCAAGTAGGAAACTCTGCTGAAGACTTCATCTCCTGCTGGTGTCTCAACAGGCCACTAATAAATACTGTGTCTGTTCCACAGTGTTAAGCAGAGTAACTCTGACGTCCTCTTAGAAATATCATCCAGTCCTCCATCGTGAATGAATAAGTTCTTCAATGCTGGATGTGATTTTGTAATCTGATCCTCTCTGAGATTTCAGCCAGCATTCATTATTTTGCTGTTTTTCTTGTTGCTGAAGCGTTTAATCTCATTCAAAGCATCATCAGTTACTATTAATGTTCTTGGGTCAGCAGCTGGTTTGTTATGAGGCTGAAACAGGCTGTTCTCTTCAAGGTCAAAAGGTCAAAGCTATTTAGCAGAATCCCCATATTCTCATAATCTCAGTGGCTCCTTCCTTATATTTTGTTTTGGGAACAAACAGCTTTGTTAAAAACAATACCTTAACTCAAACAATACTTTTTTTTCTTCTGTTCTTCCAATTTCGATATATTCAAATTCAGTTTCTACCTGGTTAACTAAGAGGTTAAGAGTCTGAGATGCAGCTTTACAGATTTGAAGGTTTCAACTTGTGCTTGTCATGATCTGGCCTGTTTGCTCTCCCTTAATTAGTAATTCCTCTCACCTGCCATCTTCCCTCCCTGCCTTATAATTTATTCCTCTCACCTGTTTCCTGTGGTTTATATTCAGTTCAGCCTGAGCATTCAGTGCCAGATCATTGCTTGTCTTTTTGTTAGTGTGTCCAGTTTTATTTGGTTCATGTTCTGGATCCTAGCAGCCAGTGGAAAGAGGGTATTTGTATTTGTCTCATCTCCTGATCGTCCACTGTTCCTCCCCCACGGAGTCCTCTGGGTTTTTGGCTCATTATGGGGGGAGGTTCAGTTTTTATCAAAGTAAGCCTGGCTCCAGGGAGGAGACCAGTTTAAAGTCCAGCTTCAAGTTCTGGTTCCTACGTCCTGTCTCGGCTACCCTCTTCCACTGTGCCTGTCTGCACCTGATCCTGTCTGCTCCTGTGCGTGACCACCTGGTCATGCTTCTGGTCCCAGTCAGACTCTGAACCCTCCTGGGAGCCTGTGGATGCCTGGAAGTCTGGATCCTGCCACCTGTCTCTGTTCCTGTCTGTTCTGGATCCCTCACCAGGATCAGCTTCCAGCATGACCTCTGGGACTGCAGCTCTTGGGGACACTCGTGGTCTGGACTGTTAAACCAGGTAAGTGACCAACCCAGATAATCATATATCAGTTTATCCTGGTCACTTACCTGTGTTTCCTCCCCTAGAGTGTCTGAGATTGGGCGGTGCCCCGCCCCCCGCCTGCAGTGTCCACGAGCCACAGCTCCGCTTTTGTTTTGTTTTTATTTAAATAAACCTTTTGAACTTTCCTACCGACTGTCTCTCCTGAATACTGGGTCCATCTGTCCGCGATTCATGACAGTGCTGGCTTTGTAAGGACATCCACTCCAGGCAAGATTGGTATCTGCCTTAAATGTTTAGGGTAAAATATCGCTTGGTAAAATGATGGACTTCCAGTGATAGGCGGTATCACTTGCCCCACTAAGGAAAACAAATCCAAGTGTAAGGGTTCTGCCCTCTGTTTGGGTTTATTCTTAGTTCCTTTGTATTTTTAGTTGTTTTCTGTCAGTGTTTAGTTCTAGAGTTACCTTCTGTTGCCCCCTTTGCACTTGTTTCCTTTCCTCTTGGCTTCTTTCTAGTTGGTTCCAGTCACACATGCTCCAAATCCGCTGATTAGCCTGTCTTGGTTCAGTGTCCGCATATTTACACCACCTCTGCAGTCACTCAGTGCTGGTTTGCTGTTTTGTTGATTCCTCGTCTCTGGCCCCCCCACTTGAGTTTTCCCAGTTGCTTGTTAAATCTGCAAGACTCACCTCTGCCTCCTGGTCTCTGCATTTGGGTCCCCAAAGACCTCCACCCAACCGTAACACCAAGTGTAATTTAGGTTCAAATCATGGTCAAAAAATGAACTCTGCACACATATGGAATAAATACACAACAACTTCCATTCAAAATATAAACATTTATCAAAAAAAATAAAACAATTCAACTGCAGGTTATCAAATCAATAACCATTTAGATAACTATTAAACTTATGTGATTACTCCTGAGGAATTAATGTTTAGGAATCCTTAGAAACTAGAAAACATTTTTCACAATCAAATGTAATGAGCTGTTCAGCAAACATATAAAAGTTAACATCATAATGGTGTCATAAACAACAGTTCAAAACATGTAAGCATCTGTGTAGCTAGCAAGTGGCAGCCGTTATTTTGCTTTTTGGCTTTCAGAAAACAGTAAAAGACATAAATTGATCAGAAATATAAAAAAAAATAGTTTAGCTGGAAACAATTTCCCTATATTATGCCAGACCTGGTTCCTCTGTTAATCTCCAAAATGAGGAATGATGAAGAGTTTCCAGTGATGCTTTCCTACCAAGCAAAAATCGGTTGAAAAGACGTTAAAAAGATAACTTGATGTACGTCCAAACAACGTCTTCATTTGGTTGAAAAGTGAAAGACAAAAAGCTGTCATTTTCAGATTGTTGAAAAAACGCAGAAAACCCAGTTTTAAACATCTATTCTTGGTCAAAAGTGGGACAAGATCAGACGGACCAAACACAACCCAAATTTCAACAACTATTTCTGGACTAAATCAGGACTATGATGAACCGACCAGATTTAGCCTAAAAACCCGCATTTAAAGGACATCTAGTGTTTGGGTGGTAGGGCAGCCTAGTCTCTGGGCCCGTTTCTCAATTCACTAGAACGTCAGTACGGACTCGTGTCCTCGCCAAGTATGTTCTTGAGAAGAACACAGGAAGCCCGTCTGCTGCAGACAGGCTAATGTGTGCCTTAGCTGCCGTTACCCTCGGTGGTCCGCTGGTTGCCGCGGTCCTCTTAACTTCGCAAATTCTTTTAAAATTGCGCATTCAATTAGTAAATTTGCTATAAAGTGACGCTTTAAAGTATGTTTTGTCTTAAATGGTCTTAAAATGTACTTTTATAGAACAACAGCAACAGAAAAGAGAACCTTAGCTTAATATTCTGAGCTCTGTGAGCGCTAACCTGGAAGCTGCTGCTGCCGCAGTGCATGCTGGGACAGCTGTCAGTCTGGAGGACAAGTCTGCTCTGATGCATGCTGGGTAAAGAGGGAGGGGAACAGAACAACATCTTTGTTGTTTGGTTCTGTTGGACTTTGTTTGTTCTCGGTTTTGTGTTCTTGTGAATTGGAACAATACTAGGGCTGAGGCTGATGACGTTTCAAGAGGACATGAGAACGCACAAGTCAACAGATTGAGAAACGGCCTTGGACTTTTGGATCCAAGTTACCCCAGTGAACCTGAAGAAAAAAAGGTTGTCTGGTAGTCTGTTCAGAAGATTGTGGTTTTGGAAGTGGTCTGCAAGGAAAGCCATTCAGGGGTTCTCCCATATGCAGCCAGGTCCACAGGAAGGAGAGTGGGAAGTGGGGATCTCAAGTCTTAATAGCAGCAACATAAGGAGGCAGCTCATGTTCCTTGTCCTTTGGGAGTGTCCTGGAAAAGGCAATGCAGGTTTTAGGGTTTACACTAACCTCTCTAGGACAACCCCCAGCAATGTTCAAAATGAATATTATGGCTTATGGCACTACCAATCTGTTTTCTCTTGACTGGCAAACAGACAAAACCTTGCTTTCACAGCTGCAGTTACACCTGCTAAAGATCTAGTGATATAGTAGCAGCCGTTAAAAATGGCCCCTCCCAGTCAAAGACCAGCTGAATGGCAGCCATCTTCCCTGCAGCTCCCAGTAGAATCCCCTCCAACTTTAATCCAGTGAAGTGACCCCCTCCTTCTCCTGGGCATGCATATCTTTTTTACTCTGACTCCATCCTTTCACTGAATTACAGGGAGAAGGCGCTTCTCTTTAGACCTTAATGTCCACAAATCATGAAAGAAACATTGCTTTAGTACAAAAATGTATGTTTAAAAAGGAATTGTAGGGGATCAGTCCAGTACCAGCCAAGGACCAGCCAAGAACCAGCCAAGGACCAGCAAAGGGCCAGCCAAGGACCAGCAAAGGACCAGCCAAGGACCAGCCAAGGACCAGCAAAGGGCCAGCCAAGGACCAGCAAAGGACCAGCCAAGGACCAGCCAAGGACCAGCCAAGGGCCAGCAAAGGGCCAGCCAAGGACCAGCCTAGGACCAGCCAAGGACCAGCAAAGGGCCAGCCAAGGACCAGCAAGGACCAGCCAAGGACCAGCCAAGGACCAGCCAAGGACCAGCCAAGGACCAGCAAAGGGCCAGCCAAGGACCAGCCAAGGACCAGCCAAGGACCAGCAAAGGGTCCATCAAGGAAAGTGGGGAAATTTTGAATGCCTACTACTGTTAGTCCTAATGATTGGTTTTATATTGATGCTGCTACCTTCTGAAATCCCATAAAAGTCTGCAGGTCATTTTTTTTCGCTCACAGCATTCCTCGTCTGTTTTTTCTTTATCAGTTAATATATAAGAGGACAGTCTGTAAGATGTGATGACTGAGTTTTCTGAAGGAGTTTTGATGGACTATTTGGTTGCAGATAGACAGTGAAAACCTACAGTAAAAACAAACATTTAAGAGTCATTAAACCCAACAAGAGGAGTTAAGAATCCCTATTTTAACTAGTTTAACTAAATGATAGAAGACATGACCAGTGAAAAACCTTGTATGGACAGATTGGCCTCCTGCTCTGTTCTCCCTCGTGTTCTATAAACCTCTCAGTTTAACTTATAGAAATCCCAGTCAACATGTTAACGAATGCAGAGCTGTAAGCCGGAAGGATCAGAAGATCTTAAAACCCTTGAGCAGGGTGAGTGTGGCAGCCCTCCGTTTGCTCTGAGCCCTGGAAGTCTTCACTGTGACCAGCTTGGCGGTGGCGGGAGCCGGCAGCTCCTTGTAGTCCAGAGCGGAGAAAGAGTGGACGCCAAGCAGCGCTTTGTCCTCGCTGACGTAGGCGGCACTGAGCAAATTCCTGCGTTCGTTGCATGGCTTGGCTCTCCGCACAGCTTCATAGAAGATGTGCTGTACGGAGTGGAAGTCACGACAAGCAGAAACCTCAAAAAACAAGCAGCCGTAGCGAGTCGCCAAGGCCTCAGCATCACTCTGACTCACCTGCCTGAGAGAAAACATCAGCAGAAAGGACTGAATGTTCTGATCTCCCCACTCAACCAATTCCTTGTCTAATTTGGGGGGTGGGGGTACAATTTCCAAATCCAAGTTATACAAAAAAATAAAATAAAGACTGGGTCATTGATGTCTTTTATAACTGATACAGAATAATAGAAAATGTCTGACCAAAAGTATCAAAGTATTTTCTTATTGATTTAATCTTCATTCGGAAACTAAGAAATGGATATTTAAAATGTGTAATATGTATAATTAGAGTGTAAATGTCAAAAACGTAGAGTCACTGTATTTATTTCCAATTATCTGAGACTGAATCTAATGTCATTTATGAAAACAATTATGATGAAAGAATATTTCTTCATATCATTTTAGACCATAATTTGAGACTGATTAATAAAACATGGAGATAAAAGCAGAAAAAGCTGGTTTTTTTATATAAATCTTAAACACCAGGTAACAAAAAAAAAATGGTTCAATTATATTTCTAACACTTTAAACTCTTTTAAATGTAAAAAAGGTTTAGCAAATCATGCGAAAGCGCAGAAAAGTAATGTTTTAGTGTTTAACCAAATTTAAAACATTTAAGAAAATTAAAACCCAATTATTATTCAAAAAGGCTTCTTGTAGATCATCTTTAACAATATTTTGTCATTGCAAATAAAGGCCCAGCTGCTCCAAGGATTGTGAAGCGAGTCGACTTTAACAGAATTTGACATAATCTGCTGCTCTGGGTTGTTTGGTTTTGTTCAAGTTTTCGCTTTGGGTTTCAGTCGGACTTACATGTTATTCTGTGTTTGCTGCTAAGATTTATATCACTTTTGAATTGCCTCTCATTGTAGTTTAATCCTAATTTAATCGACTATTCAGCATTCTTTTGTCTTTGCTCTTGTTATCTATTTATTGTTTACAGTTACCTACATAAGTTATGTTTCCAATGGCATCATAGTTATCTTAAGTTATCTCCCTTCTCTTAGCCTCTAGTTTCTCCCTAGTCGTTCTGTATTTTCTAGTCATTCTGTATTTTCTAGTCATTCTCCTATAGTTTCATTTAAGTTCTTTCCAAGTTATATTTCAGCCCTGTTGCATTCCCTGTTTACTCTCTGTTGCCCCCTAGTGCCCCTCTCCTTTCCCCTTAGCTCCCTTCTAGCTAATTCTTTCCACACCTGCTCCCAATTAGATGATTGCTCCATTCGTTGTTCTGTTTGGCACATATACTCCTCTTCTGCAGTTACCTATAGCTGGAGTATCGTCATTTCCGTCTAAAAGTCCTGTCACACCTTGATGATTTAGACCAGTGTATGCCTGATGTATAAAAACTCTGGCAAAAACGCTGACATGCGTTGGATAAGTTATGGGCATGTTTTGGATAAGTTATGAGCACGCTGAAGCACGCTGAAAAACGTTGGCATACTGCAAGTATGTCAGGAAATTTGGAACATGCTCCAAATTTCTCGTATGCGGGGGTATGTCATACGTGGGCCATAAGTTACAGGAAAGTTATCTGATCATTGACATATGTTAAGTGTAAGTTACTCATAAGTCACGGCGTCTCATCGGCATATACAAGTTACCAATGAGAAACTCCTGCGTAACTTATCCAGAACTTCTCTCCAACATATCAGCGTATCAGACGTGTTCCAGACGAGCGCTGAACGTGTTTCTAACTTCCAGCTACTGTATAATGGCGTATTGGCAGCGTTTTGGTATAAAGGGGGTTCACAGGAGGAAACCTTTACTTACCTGTAACTTATGGCCTACGTATAACCATACACTGGCATATGTACTCGCCGTATGTTGACTTGTGCCAATGTACTTCAGCGTGCTCATAACTTATAAAAAACATACCCATAACTTATCCAATGTATGAAAGCGTTTTTACCAGATGTTTCATACATCAGGCAGACGCTGGTCTAAATCATCAAGGTGTGACAGGGGT